GGAGCTGCCCCCCTTGGTTGGACACATGTATGATGATGTCCAATGACCTTCAGTTCAGTTTGGCTTGGAAATAAGATGATACAATTGTATGCCATTTCAATATATAAGATGACAAAAATTTCGTGCTGAATGTAAGAAAATTTCCCGCGAATATATTTTGTTAAAATTTTCCGGTACTGACAAGAAGCGATCATAGAACAGCGACTTCGGCCGAGTTTCCAGGCCATGTTTTGATGGAGTATGATCTTATGGATTTAACTTGACCACCTCATTAATTTGCATTCCTGTTGTAAATGTTTCTATTGATAATGCTTCGCTAATCTTCTCTATTGCCATTTGTAGATTGTTTTTTGCATCTTGAACCTAAAACATTGTGAAAATATTACGCAAACTGAAGGTGATCACACTGTGTGAAGCAGCTGTTTTGTTTGAAAGTAGCGTACCTGACTGAGTCTCCAAGGAAGTCCTTCTTTTATATATGTATGAATATTACCATTCGCTATCTTTGGCACTTTCAACTTCAACTCCTGCAAGTAAGTCGACCAGTTTAGCGTACTTATACACGTTTAAGTCATCATCATCACCACCATCATCGCCACAACGCCATCATCATCATCATCACCACCAGCATCGTCACTCTCACCATCATCATCATCACTGTTACCACCATCGCCATCACCGTCATCATCATCACCATGATCATCATCACCATGATCATCATCACTATCACCATGTTCACCATCATCCTCATCATCATCATCACTATCATCATCACCATCACCACCATCACCACCATCATCATGTTCACCATCATCCTCATCATCATCACCATCCTCCTCCTCATCATCATCATCATCACTTTCATGATTATCATCACCACCATCATGATCATGATCACCATCATTATCACTTCCATCATCATCTTCACCACCATTATCATCATGATCACCTGATCATTTCCACCATACCCATTCCCTTCAACATCACCAATATTTTAATTTGAATACAGATAGTCTTTGTTAGTTCGGCAGTGTTTTTAAGAATTACATTTTCTCTTTGTACTCGTGTTACGATGCTGAGGATCCTCGTAGTTATAAAACAATATGTCCTAAAAAGTGTAGTTCTGTTCATAGTCTCACAACGTCATTATTGTTCTGTATGTAGGAACTGCAAGTACTGTTCTTTGTTGTTTAATCACCACCGCAGGCTAGGATGACTTTACTTACAGCATTCGTGATAGAATCCCCGTTTACTGTCACATAACCTTTCAATACATCAATACTGCAAGGAGGACAGTTTAAAGACTACATGAGGATGAAGACTAAATAATGTGCGAATGCGATTAATAAAAATACAAGACTAGTATTACGACCTACCTGGGTGTCTTAAGCAAAAATTTATCAGGTTTTTCAGAACCATTGTCTGTGATAAGGAAAAAGTGTAGAACAGCGTCACGATGTAATGGGGAAACATTTTTGTTAGAGACTCAGACATAGCGTAGTTCTCACGGTATCGACACGGTAGCCTGTGACGTACGTTGCATGCATTAAAACGTTTGTCCTTTAAAGGTCTTTGCACAAAAAATAAGGGAACGTAAATGACAACTTCGTAGTAAATGTTTAGCCTACCCGTTTTCTTTTGAGGATTATTATTGAATTTTTCATCGCAGGCCTAGAAATACATAAACAACGTAAGTATTAAAAACACATGTCTGCTAATCTGCGCAGTGTGTACTAATGGTATTTTTGGACACTCGAACCAAGTAAAGAATTAACATGTTTATAAAATAATACAAAATAATGTAGTTTGGTTTTTGTCTTGTCACTACTCACTACATGTGTTAAATTTTTTATCAAGGCACGGTTTTTGCCACCATTTTAAGTGTCATAACTGTGTCGTAGTCTGTAACATTAGAGAGTTTGAGCAAGACAACGAAGTACGAAGACGAAGGCGTACTTGACAATTTTTGCCTGTCTGTACATTATCTTGTGCATACTGAGTTGGACGTCACTGGTAGTTGCTCAACGTGTCTTCCCATGTGTCGCTGTTTATGAATACTGACCCTAATACTTGTCCTGACCCTGACAAAACAGCAAGACACGAAACTATATCCCGTCTTTGTGCAGTACGAAGTTCACGACGAATTTTGCCAAAATATTCGTTCTGAACGAAGGCAGAAGAACGAAGACGGGATATGGATTCATGTCTCGTTGTTTTGTCAGGATCAGTGTGAGGATTTGGGTCAACATTCATAAACAGCTAGACATGAATCTCTAATCTGTCTTCACCCCTGACCCTAAACTCAGAATACGCAAGATAATGTGCAAGACAGGCAAAAATTGTCAACCACGTCGTCGTCGTCCTACTTCGTTCTCTTGCTCAAACTCTCTATTAAATGCGCGGAAGCAGTGGCGGAAATCTTGGTGGGGCGGGAGGGCGTCCGCCTCCCCCCCCCCCCACCTTCCGGAAAATTGACGAATTTTCGGAAATTTTGATCTAAAAGAAGGCTAAAAACAGTCTTTTCGGGGGGGGGGTATGTCGGAAATTTGTAAGTTCTGTTGGAAATTTAGGAGGCTTTCCCCCCCCCGAAAAAGTGAATTTCCGCCATTGCGCGGAAGACATGCATATGGTATACTACCTTCAAAACGCTTTCAACTTTTCTCAAAATAGAAGGAACTTGCTTTTCCAAAAGCCATTGAAACTCCAGTTTCTATTAAGAGAAAACGCACATTAAACACAGTATGAAAGTGTGGTCACAATAATGCAAACTCTGGCCCCATTACACTCTGCACATGTCTGGTGCGTTGATGTCAATGTGTTATACCACATGCGCTTGGTGAGAATAAGCTTATGAGTATAAATACAGTGGTCATCACATATCTAGATGTGTTCAGAGATGCACTGATGAGATGTACGAAAACCGAAACCTGAACATCTGCAGATTGTATTACATACACATAGCATCTTATGCCTGTGCAGTGTTTATGACTCTTGTCAAGGGGAACGCTGTTCCCCATATTATTTTGAGTTTTATCAGGGGGAACACTGTTCCCCTTGTGAAAATAGTGCGAGGCCACATTCCCCGTGGAAAACATCACTGGGTTTCACTAAGCAAAAAGCGTTATCGTGCAGCAGGTCAACGGTCAACTAGCGTTTATCAGAGTGAGAAAATAATGTCAATTCTTTCTTTTCATTATATGTTGTAGTCTTGTATTTGATGGTAAATAAATTAAAGTAATATACTTTTATAAGAATCAACATTTCTAAGACAACCATCTGCTGCCCCCAAAACGCTTACAGAAACCAACCACGGTTAATAGATCTAGTTCTATTAACCGTGAACCAACCAAAAGACAATGTGAATGTTTTTATGTGCTGTTCATCTTCAGTTGCAAATATAAACGGAAGTTTAACATCTATTATACTTATGCTATTAAATATTAAGGGTTAATTAAATATAGATTTAGATGCAGAGATTTCCAGAATACATCACAAACGTATAATCAATTGAACAAACTTTAATGAAACGAATGTATCGCACAAACCATAACTCTCGATTCTTCGTCTTCGCTCATTGTCGCCGCCATTTTTTTTTTGAAATTTTGAAAAAACCTCGAATTAACCCTAATTTCTCCATATTTTATCCCCATATATACCACTTTACTACTGAATGTACACATTTAAAAACAAAATTCTTAAAAAAACGTGATGCCTGTTCAAAGATTTAATTTGATTTTGCTCATATTTCAAGGTATTTAAAAAAAAACTTGCATAAAAACACAACCAGAAAATGTGGTTTAGGTATTCTAGTATTCAATTATTTTATTTGTTTTTTAGGGTTTGCAATTTTCGTGCTGTGCAATCAATTCCAGGCAGATGACTTGCAACAATTTGGGACAGTGAATGGAAATAGCTCTACAAATGTATGAATTGTGTTTTTTCAAGCGTGTAGTGTCATATTTACTTGTTGTGTGAAATGTTGTGGTAATAGCAGATTGTGCAAATGCATGCTCCCATGAACAAATTAGATTATTAGAAATATTTTAGGTTGAAAAGGCTATTTAGCAGGTAGAACAATAAGACGTCCACATGCTCATTACTTATGTATATAGATCTGCAGAATGCATGTTTCAACATTCATAGCCTCATCAATACAGTGTGGTACATCTAGATACAAGACTAGCTCATTCTCAGATTTCTCACTGGTACAACAAAGGTACAGCAAAGTTACATCGGCTCATCCAGTATTTATAATGATATTTTCCAATCGAATATTCTCCGATATTGACATCGTCATCTCAATTTTTCATCTCGGTATCCATAGATCATTGTCAGAAATAGACCTAAGAATTTAAATCCTTATCCTAAAATTAGTCTGTACTGAAAATTACATGATGTTTGACATTCAGGGTGCAAATTTTCACTGCAGTGGAAATAAATTGCATATACAAATGTATAGTAAAAACATTTTCAAATGTCCAAACATCATGAAATGTTCGGTTTAGACTAATTTGAGCATGACGGTTTCAATTCTGGGGTCCATGTCTGCCAAATACTAAGATAAAAATCCATAACGCGGACTCGGATTGGAGAATAATCAATGGGGCCTCACAGAGTGCTCAAAAACACTGAATTAATTGAACGATCATAGATATTATATAATCTGCAGACATGCGTTGATCACAGAAGGCCAACTCAGCCAAAAAAGCATAACCGTGTCACCACACCATGATTTACAATCATGCAATCATGTTCCTAGCCAGCTAGTGTACTTACGAGATACATTCACCTCCCTGATTGTCTACCATTTTGAAACTTCAGGTGGTGAATGCCTTTCATAAGCACACTGGCTAGGATGTACATGCCACCATCATTAATTACCAAAAGTATTAAACTAAATTTCTTTATGCTTTGCAGGAAATTTTAACTTTAGGTGAGTCATGATACTAAAGTTTACTGATCGATTGATTAATAATAAATAATTGAATTTGATTTGAAAGTTGTAAGAAAGATACAGATAGATAGAGTCCTAACACCTTCTGGTGTTTTATGTTTAGATGATGCTGTTGTTATCCTAAGAAGTCAACATGATTCTTTTCATAAAAATAAAGCAAATATATTTAAGAAGAAGCTTAAAGAGCAAATAACTGCAAGATCTATTAAGGTAGTTTAACCAAACTCTTTGCTAGTTGGCTGCTATGTGTATTTTATATGGTGAAATTTGCAGTATCCCGATATCCACAGGATACTAAAATTTGGTTTTGGGTACCAAACTGCAAATGACTTATATCCCAACTGGATACTCAGGGGGGGGGGGGGTACTAAACTTTGAATCCTGGTATCCCAGTTGGATACTGAGAAAATATTTAAATTTCAGACCCTGCCGTGAATCAGGGCGGTTGAAAGTTTGCCCAGAATTTTTTGGAGGATTGCAATGAAATAACCTGAATTGAACATATTTAATCTGCCCAAATTTCCATGACGTTCTAAAGTTGCTTTTTGTTTGGGGGGGCAGCCCCCCCCCCCACTCCCCTAGCCAGTAGGCTTATAGTGATTGACACAGTGTATGTATATTTTGTACAGCATCAAAATTTTATCAAACTGTCAATAATGTTCAACATTTAGGGTCAACTCTCAGTCAAAATGCTTCATGAAGATTGGGCACCCTATGGAGCTTGGACAATTTTTCCAATAATTAATATGTGAGTGTGCAATGCCTTTGGCCAAGGGAAGCCTCACATATCGATTTTTTCCATGAGAAATGTCATATGTTCGTTTGGGGGTGGGGGTTTGCAGCTGTGACGTTTCTCTGTAAAACATCATGGAAAAATTCGATAGTTTTTTCGAAAGCCTTAACATGCTTGTGTGATGTTACTCTGAGTGTATATCCCCACCGGGTAGGCTTGAAAAATATGCCTGGCCACGGTGGGATACGAACCTATGACCTTTGGAATACTAGCCTAATTTGCTCTGCCAACTGAGCTACACGGTCAGGACGGTTCAAGTAATTAATGCGGTATTTCGGGACTGAGTCTAGTTCCTTTTTTTCAAGCCTGCCCGGTGGGGATATACACTCAAGCAAGCATCTTATTCACCTGAGTACATCACCTGAGTACATACACAACACAGCCTTAACATTCTGGAATCATCATTGCAGAATATAAAAAACAAAACAACTTGATACAAACACCAGTGACAGTGTATACATTCGTAATACATGTTCTATACATTTCTATTATTACGCCTTCCTTGCATTGAAAACACTCAAATTTCAAGAAAAATTTGCTAAAATTGTCAATATTTCATGCAAAAAAAGAAATTTGAAGAAACATTGGAAATTTTGAAGTTCATATTATATTAATAAAAAACATGTGAGCAGAAAATGACATATTCCTCACAGAAGCATCGCCAATAGCAAACCGTGGAAAATAGTAGAAAATTAGCTTATGTGTACTATAAGAACAAAATATTGATAACTATGTGTGACGTTTCTAAGGCGGGGGGTGGGGTGTGTCTCCAGAGAAATGAACATATGACGTTTCTCATGGACTAAATCGATATGTCAGGCTTCCCTTAGCAAAATATTAACATCACTTGAAAATTGAACAGTTATACTTTTTTAACAAGTTTATTAGAGACAATCTGAAAACAAGTTATTAATCAATTTCAAACAATCTCAAAACAACTTGAAGATAAATTTCAACACATTACAAAATATCACACAAATATTTTCAATTTATGTTGCCTAGCTAGTGGGGCAGCACATTGTCATGCATACTCGTATGATCTTCAAGTTCAGTGGCAACTTCAAACACGGCATCGCAGGCACAACAGATATAACCAATACCAGTTGCTTCTCTTGCTTCTAATTCCTCACAGACATCACATTGGTAGGACATACCATGGTCTTTGGTCTTGTGCTGATATAAACTTTCAACATCAGGGAACTGTTTGTCGCATTTGTCACAGTCAAAATGATCATCACTCTTCTGTATCTCATTAGCATGTGCTTGACCTTGAATAATTTCTCTGCCACAGGTGTAGCACAATAATAAGCCATCTCTCAAGTGTGACCTCCAGTGACGTTTGAGACTTTGTCGTTGTGTGAATGTTTTCTTGCAGATGCCGCACTGAAAACTCTGATTTCTCTTGTGTGCTGATGTTTTATGTCGTGTTAATTTGTGCGATTCTGAAAATCTCTTGTTGCAAACGTCACATTGGTAAGGTTTGTCTCCAGTGTGTGTTCGTTTATGCATAGTTAAGTGGCTCAAGCATGAAAATCTCTTCTTACAAATATCACATTCATGAGGTTTGTCTCCAGTATGTGTTCTTTTATGTCTGACTAAGTGGCCTGACTGCGAAAATCTTTTGTTGCAAACATCACATTCATAAGGTTTCTCTCCAGTGTGTGTTCTCTTATGTTGAGTTAGGGCACTTGGGGCAGAAAATCTTTGGTTGCAAACATCACATTCATAAGGTTTATCTCCAGTGTGTGTTCTCATATGTTTAGTTAGGGTGCTTGGGTCACAAAATCTTTTGTTGCAAACATCGCATTCATAAGGTTTCTCTCCAGTGTGTGTTCTCTTATGTTTAGTTAGGTTGGCTGGGTTGGAAAATCTTTTGTTGCAAACATCACATTCATAAGGTTTGTCTCCAGTGTGTGTTCTCTTATGTTTAGTTAGGTTGCCTGAGTAGAGAAATCTTTTGTTGCAAACATCACATTCATAAGGTTTGTCTCCAGTGTGTGTTCTCTTATGTTTAGTTAGGTTGGCTGGGTTGGAAAATCTTTTGTCGCAAACATCACATTCACAAGGTTTGTCTCCAGTGTGTGTTTGTTTGTGGGTAGCTAAGTTGCCTGACCGCGAAAATCTTTTGTTGCAAACATCACATTCATAAGGTTTGTCTCCAGTGTGTGTTCTCTTATGTTTAGTTAGGTTGCTTGGGCCAGAAAATCTTTTGTTGCAAACATCACATTCATAAGGTTTCTCTCCAGTGTGTGTTCGTTTGTGGGTAGCTAAGTGGCCTGACCGCGAAAATCTTTTGTTGCAAACATCACATTCAAAAGTCTTGTTCCCAGTGTGTGTTCTCCTGTGTCTTGCCAAATTTCCTTTCACAGAAAGTACCTTGTTACAAACATCATATTTCGTAGACATCAGTGACATGATGACATCAGTTTCAGCTTTTGATCTTTCCCCGTACGGTCAAATTTCGATTGAAAATATCACCTAACTGTTCCCACGAGTCTGCCTTTATTGAATCTGTATAATACTTCGGTTCTTACAGAATTTCTGATCATAAAAACGAGAGTATTCCAATACACAGTTTAGGCAGTTTGCAAACAACACGTGTATCAAAATATGGCGCCCAAAAAGAAATTAAAGATTCATATGGTGTTTCCACTTTACAGAAACAAAAATTATTGATCAACCTCGTACCCAGGATCTTTTGATTATTGATGTGCGAGATTTCGCAACAGCTAGATTAATAAGTTATCAATTATTACTGTCGTTCCAATTGAAGTGTTGCTCAAATATTGATTCAATACATTCCCTTCATTTCGTCAAGTTCCTCGAGATATTCATACACTTCCTAGTATAATTGTAAACAGGGGCGTAGGAAGCATCAAAAAGTTGGGGGGGGGTCGGTTTCGAGGGGCACTTTTAGAGTGAAAAGGGCACCAAAAATTTTTCCCCAAGAAATGTTGGCGACGGGGAGAGGAAGCAGGGCCGTAGCTAGCATGTATAGTTCGGGGGTGTAGGCCAAAAATTTCCGAATGACGAAAAAAATTTCCGAATATTTCATGGCCTACGAAGGTGTTTGCTATCCGGAAAATGAAGACGCAATTTACAAACAAAACTGACGCATATTTTACGCACAGGTGTATTACAGAAGCATGCAATGCCGTAGGAATCTCTTTTTGATTGGGGTTGAGAACGAGGGCCAAAGGCCCGAGGAAATTTTTAAATTTAGAGTCTCTGAAATGCCATTTCCTGGACTTTAGAAAAGTTTTGACAGAGTTCTGATGGTCAGAGAACAACGTTTTAGTATGTCGAAATTTACAATTTGCTTGCAATTTAGTTGTACTAAATGGGCGAAGGCATATTTAATTAACTATATATTGGGGAAGTTGAAAGTATGGATAATATGATTCTTTGCAGTTTGTCGTGCATAATGTAACCGCTTAAAATTAATCAATTGTCATTATTTTAAAGGTATACTATTTAAATGATCAAGATCTGCATGATTTTGAAAAAAGAATGGTTAATATTAGCAAATTATTGGTAGAGCTGCTCCCCCCCCCCCCTCGCGGTTGCTTCGGCCCTGAGAAGTAATAAACCGAAAAACATTTACCGATTTACGATTTCAGTTAAATGGTATCCACGTATTAAATGCCATGATTTCGTAAATCAGTTTATACTGACAATACAATTATATTATATTTTGTTATACTATTATTGCCGTAATTTTCCGAATGGCCAACCCGATTTTCCGACCCAATACCCTCCCTCGCTACGGCTGGGGGAGGGAAGAAAAATAAATGCAATTATAAAGGGCACTTAAAAAATTTTCCCCGAAAATGTTGCGAAAATTTTGGCATTAATCAAAGGCCATTGAGGCAAAAATGCAATCTGAACAACATTTTTCACGAACACAAAGGGCACTTTGCCACCGAAAAAAGGGCACTTTTGAAAACTTGGGGGGCTTGGCCCCCTGCCCCCCCGTTCCTACGCCCCTGATTGTAAACTTCCTGTTGAATAGTTTGAATGCACCAATCACCTTTGTTGTTTGTGCAACCAACCAATCATAAATAGAAAGGAAATGACCAGAAATGATCAAATACTTGGAATTGGCTCTTTCACAGGAAGTGTATGAATGTCTCGAGGAACTTGATGAAATGAATTGGTCAGCCCGAGGTAATGTATTGGATCAATATTTGAGCAACACTTCAATTGGAACGACAGTAATAGGATAAACGCAAAAACATGAACGAAAAATGAGATTAACCCACCCTCGTGGGAAGGGATGGAATCTTTTGAAGAGAGGAAACTGATACCTCTTTCTTGCAGGGAATTTTTTTCCAAACCAACCAGTTTTTCATGTTTTATACTTCATTGATGAGGGGTCGACCATTTAACTTTGGGGGGAGGGGGGTGATTTACTGCTGGAAGGGATTTTTTTTCTGGGATCGTTATGTGCAAGATTTTTTTCCCTATCCATCACCATGTACAATATTTTTTGCCACTCTTTCTTTCAGTGCAGTTTTTTTCAATAGCTATACTAATCATAGATTCTTTAATAATAGTTAGCGTTCAGTTTTCCAGCTTCATGCATTGCTTTTAAATTTTTAATAATACATATTGCTATGAGGTAGGACATTTGGTTTACTCAATAGATCTTTATATTAAGATCCTGTGGGAAGCACAGACAATGAAATCCGTTACACTAATAGGCAGACTGCTGACAAGAGGCTGAATATTGGTTTGTCGAATTCGTATAGCTGTCTCGATTGAGATATTTATAGAGAGCTTATTAAAGCTTCGTGTAAAAAGTACAGCAAACGGAAAGGCCGAATTTTCTTTGCATAATTTTCGTTCGATTTCTGCGTGACATATTTTCTTTCATATGACACAGGAATAGTTAAGCATTCTAGTTTTATAATAACACGCCTATTTTAGTAAAAATAATAATTCAGATTATTTATGGACTAGTTTTCACAATCCTTTGGCAAGTGCTTTTATAGTAGAGTACGAAATAGCCCTAACACTAGTCCCTGAAAATCAAACCAGCTGATCTTCTGGGACTGGTCAAATCGATCCCTGCAACGGTGCAACCATGCTATTTTGCAACATTTTTGCAACATCTAAATACAAAAATATTATTAGTGAGCAAGCTACACCCTCAAATAAGATTAGAATAGCAAGTCTTTGTTTCCCGGATGCCATCTTGAGTCACGCATTGAACCGAAAATTGCTCCGATTGGTGTTTACATTACAATGAGAGCGTTGCAAAAACCGATCCGATACATGGCGCACTACTTCGAAGAGCGAACCGCCGCACCACCGGTTCGTTGCAGAAATTGAGACGATAACAAGATTTCATATGTAAACAGAAGCCCTATCCGGTATGGTTTTTGCGTCGGACGCAAAGTGATCCGATACAATGTAAACATAGCCTTTGAAAAACGAATGGTTAATATTAGCAAATTATTGGTAGAGCTGCTCCCCCCCCTCCCCGCCCCCCCCCTCGCGGTTGCTTCGGCCCTGAGAAGTAATAAACCGAAAAACATTTACCGCTTTGCGATTTCAGTTAAATGGTATTCACGTAAATGCCATGATGTCGTAAATCAGTTTATACTGACAATACAATTATATTATATTTTGTTATACTATTATTGCCGTAATTTTCCGAATGGCCAGCCCGATTTTCCGACCCAATACCCTCCCTCGCTACGGCCCTGGGGGAGGGAAGAAAAATAAATGCAATTATAAAGGACACTTAAAAAATTTTCCCCGAAAATGTTGCGAAAATTTTGGCATTAATCAAAGGCTATTGAGGCAAAAATGCAATCTGAACAACATTTTTCACGAACACAAAGGGCACTTTGCCACCGAAAAAAGGGCACTTTTGAAAACCTGGGGGCTTGCCCCCCCCTGTCCCCCCCGTTCCTACGCCCCTGATTGTAAACTCCTGTTAAATAGTTTGAATGCACCAATCACCTTTGTTGTTTGTGCAACTAACCAATCATAAATAGAAAGGAAGTGACCAGAAATGATCAAATACTTGGAATTGATTGAGGAACTTGATGAAATGAATTGGTCAGCCCGAGGTAACGTATTGAATCAATATTTGAGCAACACTTCATTTGGAACGACAGTAATAGGATAAACGCAAAAACATGAACGAAAAATGAGATTAACCCACCCTCGTGCGAAGGGATGGAGTCTTTTGAGGAGAGGAAACTGATAAACCAACCAGTGTTTCATGTTTTATACTTCATTGATGAGGGGCCGACCATTTAACGTTGGGGGGGGGGGGGGATTTACTGCTGGAAGGGAATTTTTTTCTGGGATCGTTATGTGCAAGATTTTTTTTCCTATCCATCACCATGAACAATATATTTTGCCACTCTTTCTTTCGCAGCAGTTTTTTCTATAGCTTATACTAATTAGATTCTTTAATAATAGTTAGCGTTCAGTTT